CAAGACACTAGGGCACATCAGGACCCAGGACGCATCCCCAGATGTTGAGGCTCTGCTTGGTCAGGACCGGAGCTGGAGGATTTTTACATACAGTGCATGTTTTTAGTGGTAGGGGAACCTGGAGAACTTAGAGAAAACCTACACAGACATGGGGAGAACATGCAAACTACACTCAGAAAGTAAAGAAGAGTAGAGTGGAGAGTAGTGTAGAGTAGAGTAGAGTAAAGTGTAGAGTAGAATAGTGTCGAGTCGAGTCGAGTAGAGTAGAGTGGAGTAAAGCAGAGTAGAGTAGAGTAGAGCAGAGTAGAGTAGAGTAGAGTAGAGTAAAGCAGAGTAGAGTAGAGTAGAGTAAAGCAGAGTAGAGTAGATTAGATTAGAGTAAAGTAGAGTAGAGTAGAGTAGAGAGTAGTGTAGAGTAGTGTAGAGTGTAGGGTCGAGTAGAGTAGAGTAGTGTAGAGTAGAGTAGAGTAGTGTAGAGTAGAGTAGAGTAGAGAGAGAGTAGTGTAGAGTAGAGTAGAGTAGAGTAGAGTAAAGTAGAGTAGAGTAGAGTAGAGTGTAGAGTAGTGTAGAGTAGAGTAGAGTAAAGCAGAGTAGAGTAGAGTAGAGTAAAGCAGAGTAGAGTAAAGTAGAGTAAAGTAAAGTAGAGTAGAGTAGAGTAGAGAGTATTGTAGAGTAGAGTAGAGTGTAGGGTCGAGTAGAGTAGAGTAGTGTAGAGTAGAGTAGAGAGAGTAGAGAGTAGTGTAGAGTAGAGTAGAGTAGAGAGTAGTGTAGAGTAGAGAAGAGTAGAGTAGAGTAGAGAAGAGTCGAGAAGAGAGTAGTGTAGAGTAGAGAAGAGAAGAGTAGAGAGTAGTGTAGAGTAGAGTAGTGTAGAGTAGAGAGTAGTGTAGAGTAGAGTAGAGTAGAGTAGAGAAGAGTCGAGTAGAGAGTAGTGTAGAGTAGAGAGTAGAGTAGAGTAGAGAAGAGTAGAGTAGAGTAGAGTAGAGAAGAGAAGAGTAGAGAGTAGTGTAGAGTAGAGTAGAGTAGAGTAGAGAGTAGAGAGTAGAGTAGAGTAGAGTAGAGTAGAGTAGAGTAGAGTAGAGTAGAGTAGAGTCGACTCGACTCGACAAGTCAGTGGCCTGTACTGTCCTGTCTGATCTGTCGTTATTTGCTGACAGTAAAGTAAAAGATGTGTGTGACCTGTTAGAGCTGCTCTGTGTCCAAAGAATCCAGTTTCAGAAATAACAGGGCGGTTTCACTGAGTTTGTAGAGGAGCCAATCAGAACACTCGCTGGAACAAAGACTCCTCTGTCTGACGGATGTTGGCAACGAGCTGTACATGTGATTCACCTGTAAAGAGCCAAGTTTATTTATATAGCACAGTTGATACACAAGCCAACTCAAAGTGCTGAACAAAACAAGAGAGAAACAGTCACACAAGACCACACTAGGGCACATCAGGACCCAGGACGCATCCCCAGATGTTGAGGCTCTGCTTGGTCAGGACCGGAGCTGGAGGATTTTTACATACAGTGCATGTTTTTAGTGGTAGGGGAAACTGGAGAAAACCTACACAGACATGGGGAGAACATGCAAACTACACTCAGAAAGTAAAGTAGAGTAGAGTGGAGAGTAGTGTAGAGTAGAGTAGAGTAAAGTGTAGAGTAGAATAGTGTCGAGTCGAGTCGAGTCGAGTAGAGTAGAGTGGAGTAAAGCAGAGTAGAGTAGAGTAGAGCAGAGTAGAGTAGAGTAGAGTAGAGTAAAGCAGAGTAGAGTAGAGTAGAGTAAAGCAGAGTAGAGTAGATTAGATTAGAGTAAAGTAGAGTAGAGTAGAGTAGAGAGTAGTGTAGAGTAGTGTAGAGTGTAGGGTCGAGTAGAGTAGAGTAGTGTAGAGTAGAGTAGAGAGTAGTGTAGAGTAGAGTAGAGAAGAGTAGAGAGTAGTGTAGAGTAGAGTAGAGTAGAGTAGAGTAAAGTAGAGTAGAGTAGAGTAGAGTGTAGAGTAGTGTAGAGTAGAGTAGAGTAAAGCAGAGTAGAGTAGAGTAGAGTAAAGCAGAGTAGAGTAAAGTAGAGTAGAGTAGAGAGTAGTGTAGAGTAGAGTAGAGTAGAGTGTAGGGTAGAGTAGAGAGTAGTGTAGAGTAGAGTAGAGAAGAGAAGAGAGTAGTGTAGAGTAGAGTAGAGTAAAGTAGAGAGTAGAGTAGAGTAGAGTAGAGTAGAGAAGAGTCAAGTAGAGAGTAGTGTAGAGTAGAGAAGAGTAGAGAGTAGTGTAGAGTAGAGTAGAGTAGAGAGTAGTGTAGAGTAGAGTAGAGTAGAGTAGAGAGTAGTGTAGAGTAGAGTAGAGTAGAGTAGGGTAGAGAAGAGTCGAGTAGAGAGTAGTGTAGAGTAGAGAGTAGAGTAGAGTAGAGTAGAGTAGAGTAGAGAGTAGTGTAGAGTAGAGTAGATTAGAGTCGACTCGAGAAGTCAGTGGCCTGTACTGTCCTGTCTGATCTGTCGTTATTTGCTGACAGTAAAGTAAAAGATGTGTGTGACCTGTTAGAGCTGCTCTGTGTCCAAAGAGTAGAGTAGAGTAGAGTAAAGCAGAGTAGAGTAGAGTAAAGTAAAGTAGAGTAGAGTAGAGTAGAGAGTATTGTAGAGTAGAGTAGAGTAGAGTGTAGGGTCGAGTAGAGTAGTGTAGAGTAGAGAAGAGTAGAGAGTAGTGTAGAGTAGAGTAGAGTAGAGTAGAGAGTAGTGTAGAGTAGAGAAGAGTAGAGTAGAGTAGAGAAGAGTCGAGAAGAGAGTAGTGTAGAGTAGAGAAGAGAAGAGTAGAGAGTAGTGTAGAGTAGAGTAGAGTAGAGTAGTGTAGAGAGTAGAGTAGAGTAGAGTATAGTAGAGTAGAGAAGAGAAGAGTAGAGAGTAGTGTATAGTAGAGTAGAGTAGAGTAGAGAGTAGAGTAGAGTAGAGTCGACTCGACAAGTTAGTGGCCTGTACTGTCCTGTCTGATCTGTCGTTATTTGCTGACAGTAAAGTAAAAGATGTGTGTGACCTGTTAGAGCTGCTCTGTGTCCAAAGAATCCAGTTTCAGAAATAACAGGGCGGTTTCACTGAGTTTGTAGACGAGCCAATCAGAACACTCGCTGGAACAAAGACTCCTCTGTCTGACGGATGTTGGCAACGAGCTGTACATGTGATTCACCTGTAAAGAGCCAAGTTTATTTATATAGCACAGTTGATACACAAGCCAACTCAAAGTGCTGAACAAAACAAGAGAGAAACAGTCACACAAGACACTAGGGCACATCAGGACCCAGGACGCATCCCCAGATGTTGACGCTCTGCTTGGTCAGGACCGGAGCTGGAGGATTTTTACATACAGTGCATGTTTTTAGTGGTAGGGGAAACTGGAGAACTTAGAGAAAACCTACACAGACATGGGGAGAACATGCAAACTACACTCAGAAAGACCCTGTCTCGACTGGGAATTCAACCCAGCATTTCTCTGACTGCATGTTATTACAGGTGTTCTGTGAGGCCCTCAGAGCTGTGGTCGGTGTGTGTTCACCAAACTACTGTGTGTGATGTGCGCTTTAACACAGTTTACGTTTATCCACTTTGGGACAAATAACTTTCCTGTATCATACATGAATCTCTTATATCTCAGTTTTCCTCCTTTTCCAGTTTTCCAGAGCGAATGAGATGGAGCCTCTGAACTACCAGGTGCTAAAGTGTGACAGACATAGTGTTAGTGAAGGATGATTCAACAGAAGTGGTCCCACACACAGACATACACACACACAAAACGGCACAGACACTGATTACAGTGGTTGTGTCAAGTACCACCTGAAAGTCTGGTGTCTCTGAGAGAGGAGCGCACCCAACTGAACATAAGTCAGTTCCCATCACAGAGGCAGACATCTGAGAAATGTTCTGGAAAATGGCAGCAAGTCCAAAGTAGCTCTGAAACAGTTGTTGTTTTGTGCTGTACATTTGTTATTTTTCTTGCTTATTTCTACCTGAGATATTGCTGCAGTACCGTGTTTATGGTTTTACACTGGTCCAGTGGAGAGGATTCATGGTCCGAACCAAGCGGATCAGATGATAATCCCTCTATCTATCTATCTATCTATCTAAGAGCATGAAAAACTAAACAGCACCTGGCCCTGACATGGTCCGTGCCTATTGCCTAAGGAAACTCACCCACAATGGCTAACCAAAGGACAAATGGTCCTGGTCCTGATGGACCCTGTGAAGGGTGCAGTCCCCTCCAACGTCCAACCAATAACCTGTCTCTCCACAACATGGAAGCTCGTGTGTGGCGTCATTACGGCTAAGATAAGTGGACATTTGGAACAATTACTGAGCACAGACAGAAGGGCATTGGTGCAGACACCAGAGGAGCCAAACACCAGCTCCTGGTTTACAGAGCAGTTGTCCAAGACCAACCTGTCCCCAAAGGTCAGGTGGGGATGTGGAAGACCACCCTTGAGGCCAATGGCAAGCCACTTGCACAAATGACCATAAAATGTGGCATCTACCAAGAAGATGTCTCCACTGCTGTTCTGCAAAGGCCTGAACCCTCTAAGCCAAATAATTAAGAAAACTGGATATGGATACCGCCTCAGGAACAGCAAACTCCCCCAAACGTGGTGGACAAGATGGTAATGGCGAATCAACCAGTTATCGTGGTGTTAGACAAAAAAGAGTGCCATTTCCAAGCAATGGAGAGGGCCTGAAGGAGAGGAGAGGATGTGATATAAAAAAAATCACTTTTAATCATAACTAGAATCTCCATGTAGACAAGCCTGTTTGATTTTTTTAAAACTGCACCTTAATTACATTCTTTACATTTCTAGAATATTTGGTATTGTTTGTGATTATGCAACGAAAAGGGGAGTTTCCAACCGTTTAAAGGTTTAAAAGTCGGACAGTCTTCTGTGCTGCTCAGAATCCTCCACCCCTGGATTATGGTGAGTTAATCACACATCGATCATCATCTTTGGTTATCCAAAAGTATTTGAGGTCGAGCAGAAGAGAATTGAACATCTACAATCATGAAGGCGCAGGTAAGAACCAGCACATGTTAGAGTTTATGATGTACTGTACTCATACTCAGTGTGTTTCCCAAAAGGTGGTCATCGGCCTGATTGCAATGATGTTTGTGGGTGAGTCTTTAACATTACATTCTATTGACTTGGACTATTTCAATAAAAACTGACTTTTGAACAAGGCTAGACATGTTTTCCTGTTTCCTTCACACTGAGACATTTCTGCAGGTTTGAACAAACATAAACGAGCTGTTGGAAATGACTTCTGTTTGCATAAAAACCTTCTGACGGAGTCCTGCTCCTGAAGTTATTAGTGCCACTGTTTCTGTGAGTTCCAGAAACAGTTTGTGGTTGACTTTAGCTTAGCTAAAGCACGATGGAAAAGGCTGTAGATCCAGGACTGAGACTATGGATCCAGGACTGAGGCTGTAGACCCAGGACTGAGGCTGTAGATCCAGGACTGAGGCTGTAGATCCCAGACTGAGACTATAGATCCAGGACTGAGGCTGTAGACCCAGGACTGAGGCTGTAGACCCAGGACTGAGGCTGTAGACCCAGGACTGAGGCTGTAGATCCAGGACTGAGGCTGTAGATCCCGGACTGAGACTATAGATCCAGGACTGAGGCTGTAGACCCAGGACTGAGGCTGTAGACCCAGGACTGAGGCTGTAGATCCAGGACTGAGGCTGTAGACCCAGGACTGAGACTGTAGATCCAGGACTGAGGCTGTAGACCCAGGACTGAGGCTGTAGATCCAGGACTGAGGCTGTAGACCCAGGACTGAGACTGTAGATCCAGGACTGAGGCTGTAGACCCAGGACTGAGGCTGCAGACCCAGGACTGAGGCTGTAGACCCAGGACTGAGGCTGTAGATCAGGACTGAGGCTGTAGACCCAGGACTGAGACTGTAGATCCAGGACTGAGGCTGTAGACCCAGTACTGAGGCTGTAGGCCCAGGACTGAGGCTGTAGATCCAGGACTGAGGCTGTAGACCCAGGACTGAGACTGCAGATCCAGGACTGAGGCTGTAGACCCAGGACTGAGGTTGTAGACCCAGGACTGAGGCTGTAGATCCAGGACTGAGGCTGTAGACCCAGGACTGAGGCTGTAGACCCAGGACTGAGGCTGTAGATCCAGGACTGAGGCTGTAGACCCAGGACTGAGACTGTAGATCCAGGACTGAGGCTGTAGACCCAGGACTGAGGCTGTAGATCCAGGAAAGAATGCTGGCAAGGGCAAAACATGTAGAATGTCACTGTTTAAATCTTTGTCTGAACCAGAACAACTAAGTTCACAGAGTAATAGTCTTAGATCCAGAACACTTTGGGACTGCGTAGTATCGTTCTGGTTGATACTTTCCATGTCTGCTAAAATGATACAACTCTCCTTGTACTTTTCGAACCATATGAATCTTGCCAAATGGTTTTGTGTGATTCAGAAAGCCATCAGCGTGTGAGTGCTGGACCAGCGTGTGAGTGCTGGACCAGTTGGCTGGACAGAGACGATCCAGATGGGTCTGAAGACTGCGAGTTACTCAGTCTTTTCCTCGAAGATAATCCAAGTCAAGTCTGTAAGAATCCTCTTGACATCGAGGCTCGGACCAAACCTGGAGGCATCAGTGCAGCTGGAGCAGGAGAAGTGATCCATACGTGAGTGTGTGTCTCTGCTGCAGGACGTTTAACACACAGTATACATTACAACAATATTTCCTCGTCAAAAACATAATGTTTCTAACTTTATCCACGCTAATATCAGACCCTTAAGGCAAAAACACATCCCCCTGTCCCTTATTTGTAAATGCTCTTATTCTTTGTACTCAATACATTCTGAGATCATGAACAGAACCTGGAAAGGGAAGAATGCAGAGCGATACGGCAGGACTGTTGGTTCCACAGACAGGGAGACGATCCTCTACAGCCGACAGTGCTGAGTTCTTCAATGAATGTCACTTTTATTTATTCATTCAACAGCTTGAGTCCATCCGTTGGTTTAATCTGCAAGAACGACCAACAAAAAGACACATGTTGCCTGGACTACGAGGTCCGCTTCCGCTGTCCACCAGACTTCTGTGAACCAGGTTTGTTTCAGCCAAAGTGTGTATTAAATCTGCAGAGACTCAAACAGACAAAACATGGTATTATTAGAATTGTTTAAAGTTGTAAATACAATATTTTCAAGATTACATAATGTTAGGGACCAAGCAGTAAAGTACCAAGACAAAGGTTCAAATCTTGCAAAAAAGGGTTTATAGGCCATATAGACAAACAGGCCATTAAAAAGGTCAAAAGAATAGAACTTTACAGAAAGCAAATGTTAACTTAATGAGAACTTAACACAAACAAACTGACCTCCCAAATAAAACATAACCCAACATATATATACTGCCCAGCCCAATTACCCACAGCTGTACCAACCCACATAAGCCCGCCCCTTTTTCCTCTTCAAATCAGGAGGGACAAGGCTCATGATGTCATCCTGTGGGGTGTAGCCATCACACATTTATTGCTGCTGTACAGAAATGAGGTTAGGATTTGGCGTTTAGACCTCAGCAGAGCATTGCACTGTTACAGAAGAGGAACGAGATTATGAGATGAAATTCCCTGGGGCCTAGACCCTGGGGGTGGGAGCGAGGAGAAGGATGAAGGAGCTGGACCGGAACCAGGTGGAGATGAAATAGCCCTTCTTTGGCAGAGCCTTCTCAATCACGTAAAAGTAAAAGTAAAAAAAAATGGCCTACAATAATGAGTTTAAAGGAACAATATGTAATTAAAGCTGCAAGCGGCATCTAACGGCCCTCGCCGCACCGCGCAAAGGAGGTGGCGCTGACGCGCCATTTTCATACCTCCCTGATAGGAGCGACACTGTGCATTTTGAATTCCTATGATCAGTGATTGTGTGTGTCTTTGAAAAGGTAAACCTCTTTCTCCCCATGTAACACTTGAATCAGTCTGTAGGGGGCGCTATTGCTGCAATTTCATAATTCATACTTTCAGTTTACCCAAACCCGAGAGTTGAACAATCAATTAAAATTTTGTGCAAATCGGACTTTGTATGTGCAAACGGAAGGCATTTATGTTGTACAACAGCGCCCCCTACAATTTAATTTTTTTAGTGTTATACCAAAGAACACCAAAATAATACACTTTATGCCTGAAAAAAACTTGTGGCAAAGTTTGGTGAGTTTTCGTGTTTGTTCAGTGGGTCAAATATGAGATCAAACAACAGAAAACCTAAATACCTGTATCCCCATGTAAACCTTTACTCAGCCTGTAGGGGGCGCTAATGGGCCAATGTCATTGTTCACACTGTCATGTGACCTAGGCCCAGGAGTTGAACAACCGAGTCAAGTTTAGTGCAAATCAGAGTTTGTAAATGTGCTCCTGTTTGCACATACAATCTGTGAGTGTGTCCATACAGTCTCCATTGGATAACATGGGAACTTCACACCTCTCTATGAAAATGACCACACTTTGGGGGTCTGTCACGCTCAGACCGTTTGACTAATTAAAACTCTATATTCAACTATTGATGGTCCATGTGTTGAGACGATGTGGAGCGATTTTCAGCCATATTAGTGAAACGGCCGCGGCTGGTTTGATGTTTGAGCGAGGTGTACTTTTAAGAGATTTAACGATTTTCTCATAGACACAGACAGGGGAGTGTTTGTCGTCGCCACGGCAACAGGGTAAAAAAAAATCATATGTTGTCATTGACTTTTTTAATCCAGATGACAAAACAGAATTATGTGCAAAATTTCAAACATTTTGACAAAACTAAATTTTAAAAAGCCCATGTAAAACTTTAACATAGTCTGTAGGGGGCGCTAATGAGCCAATTTCAATATTTCCACTTTCAGATGACCTAGACCCTGGAGCTGAACAATGGATTAAAATTTGGTGCAAATCCGGCTTTGTTTGTGCAAACGGGAGCAAATTTACTTTTGTCAAAAATCCCCAAAAAAATGTCACATTTTGCCGCTCCGCTGCTCGGACAACGTTTAACTGATCCAAATTCTATATTCAATAATAGATGGGACATGGGTTTAGATCATGTGGAGCGATTTTGAGACAAATCAGTGAAACGGCCGAGGAGGAGATAATTTCCAGCCGACATGTGTGAAAAATATCTATTTTCATTTTTCCATTTTCCATTGAAATTAATGAGCTCCCTGTTTGTCAGGGGGCGGAGCCATAATAACTTTTTTTTCATGTCTTGACATGAGGAACATGTGTACCGAGTTTCGTGGCTCTACGACAAACTTGACCTCTGACCCCCTCCCATAGGCGCAATGTAAACTGACTTTTGTAGGGGGCGCTGTTCGGTCATTTTTTTAGTCCCATAAAAATAAACACCAAAAAAATTAATTTTTCGCCGGTTCTGAATTTTGGGCAAAATTTCACAACTTTTCATCAATGTTCAGGGGGTCAAATTAAGGTTCAAAGCGCAGAAGAAAAAAGAAAGAAAGAAAGAAAGAAATAAATAAGGAATTTTTTTTTGAAATCTTCGAGCAAAAACAATATAGGTTTCCATAGTAACCTATAATACAAATGATACGTCGTTTTAAAGCGAACGACGAGGCGAACGCAACTATTGGGTTCTCGGTGATTGACGAGCGCTGACGCGCTCGTCAATCACCTCGCCATCATGAGGTCACCCACCCCCCCCATAGGACCCCATTCATTACACTGTGTACTAGAGCAGGAGCAAAGCCATTCAGTGCCTCCGGCACTGTTTTGTCAGTGTCTGGGCACGCGCCGTCGGGCTTGGGGGACGAATGTCCGGGCTTCGCCCGGACATTCGTCCGTAAAACAGTTGAAGGAACCCCCCTTTAATAGGACTTCAATCATTTCACTGTGTACTACAGCAGGAACAAAGCCATTCCGTGCCTCCGGCACGGATTTATCAGTGCTTGGGCACGTGCCGTCGCGTGCAGGTCACAATTACTCGTTGGAAAAGCAATAGGCCCTTACCCCGGTTGGGGCTCGGGCCTAATAAATAAATAAGGAATTTTTTTTTTTAATCTTCGAGCAAAAACAATATAGGTTTCCATAGTAACCTATAATACAAACGATACGTCGTTTTAAAGCGAACGACCAGACGAACGCCCGGACATTCGTCCATAAAACAGTTGAAGGAACCCCCCTTTAATAGGACTTCAATCATTTCACTGTGTACTACAGCAGGAACAAAGCCATTCCGTGCCTCCGGCACGGATTTATCAGTGCTTGGGCACGTGCCGTCGCGTGCACTGACTTATGACAGTTCAACGAGTAATGCCTGGGCTTCGCCCAGGCATTACTCGTTGGAAAAGCAATAGGCCCTTACCCCGGTTGGGGCTCGGGCCTAAATATTTGAAACCCCATTTGGAACGTGAATTAACAGTCTATGGAATGAACTACTGCTATTCAGAAGCTGCAGTGACTAAATTTGTCCACTAGATGTCAGTGTTGCAACTTAGTCTGTGAGAGCTCAGGGTCTTTAACACAGTTCAACCAGTCGGGCAAGGAAAGCCTCAGTGTGTTAATATTTACTGTCTGTGGTTACTATGAAAGGCAGTCCAAGGGGGTGGCTCCCCCTTGGACTGCCACCTTAACGTGGTGGGGGAGTTTGAGCACTCGGATGATCCTGGGAGATGCCCCAGACAGCATAGCATGTCTGGCTCCCATGGCAGACAGGTCTCAAGTGACGAGTCAGACGAAGCGCAGTCCGAAGCCAACCATGGACAGCACTAATACTAGAACGGTGACGTCGCCCGGCATGGCGCAGCCGGGGCCCCACCCTGGAGCCAGGCCTGGGGTCGGGGCTCGCAAGTGAGCGCCTGGTGGCCGGGCCTTAGCCCACGAGGCCCGGTCACCTCCCACACACAGCTTGGGCTCTGGAACCCAACTCCTTCAGAGGGGTTGGACACTCCACTTTTCTGGTGTTTCCCGCGGGGAGAGGCGGCGAGCTGGGGTGGCCATACTCATTGCCCCCCATCTCAGCCGACACGTGTTGGAGTTCTCCCCGGAGAATGAGAGGGTCGCGTTCCTCCGCCTCCGGGTGGGGGACAAGTTTCTCACTGTTGTGACGGCCTACGGGCCTAATGGCAGTGCAGAGTACCCGGCCTTCTTGGAGTCCTTGGGAGGGGTACTGGACAGTGCCCCGCCCGGGGACTCCGTTATTCTCCTGGGGGACTTCAACGCCCATGTGGGAAATGCCAGTGACACTTGGAGAGGGGTGATCGGGAAGAACGGCCCCCCTGATCTGAACCCGAGCGGTGTTCAGTTGTTGGACTTCTGTGCCAGTCACGGCCTGTCCATCACGAACACCATGTTCGAGCACAAGGGTGTCCACCAGTGCACGTGGCACCAGGACACCCTAGGTCGGAGGTCAATGATCGACTTGCTTGTCGTATTATCTGACCTTCGACCGTGTGTCTTGGACACTCGGGTGAAGAGAGGGGCGGAGCTGTCAACCGATCATCACCTGGTCGTGAGTTGGATCCGCTGGCAGGGCAGGAGGCCAGTCAGACCTGGCAGGCCCAAGCGTGTAGTGAGGGTTTGCTGGGGACGTCTCGCTGAGCCCCCTGTCAGACGGACTATCAACTCACACCTCCGGGAGACCTTCTCCAAGGTCCCGGCAGAGGAGGGGGACATCGAGTCTGAGTGGACCATGTTCTCTTCCTCTATCGCCAATGCGGCGGCTCGTAGCTGTGGTTGCAAGGTCTCTGGTGCTGGTCCCGGCGGCAATCCCTGAACCCGGGGGTGGACACCGGCAGTAAGGGATGCCGTCAGGCTGAAGAAGGAGTCCTATCAAGCAATGATGGTTTGTGGGACTCCGGAGGCAGCTGTCCAGTACCGGCAGGCCAAGCGTGCCACGGCCCGGGCTGTTGCAGAGGCAAAAACCCTGGACTGGGAGGAGTTCGGAGAGTCCATGGAGCATGACTATCGGTCGGCCTCGAAGAGGTTCTGGCAAACCGTCCGGCGCCTCAGGAGGAGGAAGCAGTTCTTTGCCAACACCGTGTAAGGTGCGGGTGGAGGGCTGCTGACCTCGACTGGGGATATTGTCGGGCGGTGGAAGGAATACTTCGAGGTTCTCCTCAATCCCCCCGTCACGTCCTCCGTCCAGGAGGCAGAGGCTGAGGATGTTAGGGCGGATACTTCCATCTCCCTGGCCGAGGTCACCAAGGTGGTTGGCAGCCTCCATGGTGGCAAGGCGCCGGGAGTGGATGAGATCCGTTCTGACTATCTAAAGTCTCTAGATGTTGTAGGACTGTCTTGGCTGACACGTCTCTGCAACATCGCGTGGCGATTGGGGGCGGTGCCAATGGAGTGGCAGACCGGGGTGGTGGTCCCTCTCTACAAGAAGGGGGATCGGAGGGTGTGTTCCTATTATCGTGGGATCACACTCCTCAGCCTCCCCGGTAAGATCTACTCCAAGGTACTGGAGAGGAGGCTACGGCCGATGGTCGAATCTCGGATTCAGGAGGAGCAGTGTGGTTTTCGTCCCGGTCGCGGAACACTGGACCAGCACTATACTCTCCATCGGATACTCGAGGGTTCATGGGAGTTCGCCCAACCTGTCCACATGTGCTTTGTGGATTTGGAGAAGGCGTTCGACCGTGTTCCCCGGGGTGTCCTTTGGGGGGTCCTCCGGGAGTGCGGGGTCCGGGGTCCTCTGCTGAGGGCCGTCCGGTCCCTGTATGACCGGAGTCAGAGCTGTGTTCGCTGTGCAGAGCTGTGCCGGCAGTAAGTCAGACCTGTTCCCGGTGCATGTTGGCCTCCGCCAAGGCTGCCCTTTGTCACCGGTTCTGTTCACTGTATTTATGGACAGAATTTCTAGGCGCAGCCAGGGGCCGGAGGGGGTCCGGTTCGGGGACCACAGGATTTCATCTCTACTTTTTGCGGATGATGTCGTCCTGCTGGCTCCAACGAACCAGGACCTGCAGCATGCACTGGGACGGTTTGCAGCTGAGTGTGAAGCGGCTGGGATGAGAATCAGCACCTCTAAATCCGAGGCCATGGTGCTCGACCGGAAAAAGGTGCCTTGCCCTCTAAATCTTTATCTTTATCTTTTATATTATTTATATACCGCCTTTTCACTGCAGATCTGAGTCTCAAAGCGGTTTACAATTGTTAATTTTTGGGCATTTGTCTCTCACTCCACATAGAGATGGGAGCGGGGTCGCCAGTACAGGAGGCGCATGCTAGAACTATTGGACATATTTTTAGTG